GAAGGAAGGAAGGAAGGAAGGAAGGAAGGAAGGTAGGGAAAAAAAAAAAAGAAATATTAGTTTGCCGTTCGAACGTTTATACAACGACGAATGAGAATCACTGTTTATCCTCGAGCGATCGTGTGTCGTCGACGTGAGCGACTTTCGTGATGTGAAATCCGGTTGAGAATCACTGTTCCGTTCGTTCCTACACCAACGAGGAGGTTCGAGGGCGATGCAGGAGAAGAGAAGGCCTACGCGACGGACCTCGAACCACGGCTGGCTCTCTATATCGTCATTCTGATCTGCGCATCAGTATGCGTGTACGATGCGTATACGAGCGTGTATAAACGCACGCGCGCCTACACACGCACACACAACCACACAACACAGAGAGAGAAAAAGAGAGTGAGAGAGAGAGAGAGAGCACGAACAGATACACACACACACACATACGTATATATATATGTATGGATGGATGAATTTGTGTGCGTGTATGTGTGTGTGTATGTGTATGTGCATTTATGTATGTAGATGCAGTCACGAGCCTCTTTCAAAGCCAGCATATATAACTTCATCGTGAATCCGTGTGTGTGTATATATATGTGTGTGTGTGTTTATGTCTGTGTGTGTGTGAAAGGCTTCGTAAGTTTCGTGCGGCTCTCCAGCTCACGGTACTGTTACTCGGTTATGCGAACGAAGAGAGAGACAGGCAGACAGACAGAAAGAAAGACAGACAGACAGACAGACAGACAGATAGATAGCACAGCCTTCGCGATAACCTTTTTTGTAGCGAGCAACTCGTGAGCACGTGTGAAACGGGGGGAGAGAGAGAGAGGAGGGTAGAGAAAAGAAAAGAAAAATAAAATGAAAAGGAAGAAAAAAAGAAAAGTCGGTCGCTACGAATTTTGCGCACGTGCCTTTTTCATTTCTTTCGTTTTTTTTTTCTTGTTTTTTTTTCTTTTTTTCAGAATTCTGACGATTAAAAAATGACTATAGCCCATTATTATCGTTATTATTTATTATTAATTAATTAATTTATTTATTTAATTTTTCGTTTTGTTTTGTTTCAATTTCTTTCCTTTCTGTTTTCTTCTTTTTTCTTTTTTTTTTTGTTTCTTTTTTTTTTTACAATGAAAAAAATGAAATCGTTCTCGATGAATAATTATTTTTTTTTTGGCTCTATATAAGCGCGAAATTATATTGAAATTGCGAGAAAGGAATATTTTTTTATTAGATATTCTCTTAGAAAAGAATAGAGGAGGAGATATACATATATCTAACGATTGGAACGACTAACGACAATGTAAAGGATATTTATGTACACGTAGATATGTATATACGTAGATATGTATATACGTAGATATGTATATATCAGCGTAGAAAGTAAAAGAGATAGTATATGGGTAGAAAACATAGTTTGTGCTCATTGTTGGAATTCCTTGTTTCGAGATAAGGAACGACGATACCAAAGCAACAAAAACAAAAATATACGAGTTATCCTGTTTTACGATTGTAGAATATTCTACGAAGGAAAGATTATTGGTTTTTCGTTATATAAATGTTACTTTTGAATAATATTGTACAAAATACATGTTTACACAATATTATTTCTACAAAACACGTGTCTTTTTTCGTCGCTATTCATTTATTTATTTACATTCAGTTATTCTTTTTTTTGTCGCTAGTTTTCACTACATTTTTCGATCAAATATTCTTATTATTCGTTATAAAGGATTAGTCAAAATTTTCTAATGTGGACATTTAAAAATCAATTTAATACTAATCACACTTTAAAGACTTTTAAAACGTTTCATTTTCACCTTTCATTTATTCCATTTTGTAGAGATTATTAAATCGTAAAAATATAAAAGAGTAAAAAGTATCGAAAAAAGAAAAAAGAAAAGAAAAAAAAAAAAAAAAAAAAGGAAAAATAAAAAGAAGAAAAATTCATCATGATTTTTTTTAAATAATCCGAAAACTTATCTATATTTTTAACATCGTAAATTGAACTTGAATTAATGAGGATTAATTAAAAAGAAAAAAAAAGAAAATCGAATAAAAATGGCGGAAATGTTACTAAGGTATTTACTTGGGGGGGAAAAAAAAACAAGGAAGAAAGAAAGAAAAGAAAAAAGAAGCAAAAAAAAATTCAGTATTTTCTTTCGATCTCCAGATACGATATTTCGTGTGAATTGGATTGCTCCTTAGAAATATATATATACAGTTGACGATATTGAAAATTAGAAGCGCGAGTGATGTTTTATAGTGCACGTTTTGACTTTTAAACACGCGTGAGAAAAGATAGGAAGGTATACGTAGATATATATACATAATATATGTATATATATATATATGTGTGTGTGTGTGTACGCGTGCGTCAGAATTAAAAGGAAATTCGAGCAGACAGGAACGATTTGCCACAGTTTCACTTTTGTACCAACGCGTTTTCAGAGTGCTTCCTCTCCTCTCCGACTCCGCACACCTCTTGCTATCACTGTCGATTCGTGTTTTATTCGCG